CTTAATATTAATTATGTAACGAATTTACTTTATTAATAAAGATCGTGAGAAATGCCTCACTTAACAGTAAAAAAAAACAAATAAATCTTTATCACATTAATAAATAATATGGAAAATGTCTCATTTAATAAAAAAAAATAATAAGGATCAAACCTTTTATTTTATTGATAAAATTAACTTTTATGTACAGTATTTGGTAATTTTTTTTTTCATAATGAACCCTATTGATAATAAATTTTTTATTAAATTTAATAAAAACTTCATTATTATATTTGATGGTTTTTTTTTTTGAATTAAAATTTTATTTATTTTATAATTACTATAATGACATTATGGACCATCAACTCTTGATTATGTATAGATATGAAAAAACATGGGGCAAAAAAGCTTCAGCAAATGATATTCTTAGGGAACTAGATATCGAAGGTGTAATGTACTGTATCAGGTAGAACACGTGATATACAAAATCAAAAGGTTATTACATTAGAACGAGAATATATCCCATTCCAAAAACATGAAACACAGACAGTGTTCCGATTCAATGGATATGTAATAAAAGATCATGAATGGGTTAATGTAACCTTATGTCACGAAGTCATAACTAATATTCTTGGCCCATCTTCTCGAAAACATCAGAGTATCCTCGAGAACAAGAACCCGATATTTACTATCCATAGTACGGATTTGCTATAGAGATACAAGGTACAAATTTTGAATCGGTTGATGCTATTCGCGCTTCAACGTGATGGAGTTCATAATTAAGTCTATTATTATGTTCTATTATTAATTTTACTGATTGCTATTTTTAATAATATTGCCCGAGTGATTAATAGCAACGAATGTTGAATTATCATAATCACACCATTGTTAATGATTCAATATTCTTTTATTCTTTTATAAAGTATAAATAAGTCCCGTTTTCGTATGTTTGGGCAAGATAATGTCAATAATAAAGTATGGTGAAGCACAAAATAAGAAATTTTATCAGGAAAGGATAAATGAAAAGAAAAAGATCCATTGCGCAAGGGTTAGCTCAGGTAAACAGAAAGGAGACCTTGGCAGGCAATGAGAGTACCTCATACAGAAATAGCCTGACCACAAATTCATCAGAGACATTGGATCAGGTCTCAACTGGAAACGCAAGTGCTTCACATTTATTTTAGAACGATCGTACCGAGGAGATATTGAGAAGGTTGTGGTTACCTGGACGGAATATTTTTCGTACGAGCTTGTCGAATAGATTCTTGGCAAGAACAGTACAAAGATCAAAGATTGTGGTACTTGGTTTGGACGTTAATGTTGATGAAACCGAATTCAATGAACTTATAATGCAACTGAGTAATGGATTATTGATTATTGAAATTTTTATGAACGTCAAAAAAAAACAAAAAAAAATCTTTTTAAAAAAAAGTAATTAGGTATAAACGTTAAAGGATAATTATACTATTCAGGGCAATATATTATTATCCGAGATCTTATCTAGTCTTCTCGAAGAAACAAATACAAATTTAAATCGAATGGTAATTTACCTCTTTAAGAAAGGGAAAATCTGTATACTGTAATAATGGGTCGCTTTTAAAGAATGTTTGCTGTTACGAAAAGAAAGGGATCAATAGAAAAACAATAATACAGTATAAGGGTAAGTTTCCTACACTACATAATTACTTATTTGAAACATAAATTCCAAGATTAGGCGTTGTCTTTAAATTCATAAACATTCCACAATTTACTTTGCGCCCATCTTGAACTAGAAACTCTGCATTTTCATGGGTTGTGTAATATGTATACGTAAATTAATTTTATTAATTTTATTTATAATTTAAGCCTTGAGACTATTTCTTACCCCATGGACCGGTCGGCATCGTGGACCGATCGCCTTGATTCAATCGAGCATGATCTAAGAACAATTTTAAATATACATTATACAGCAATACCGTATACAGTATACCGTGTATATTTATGACAATTAACTTACCAAATTTGGTTTGGACAATCTTCTTGTTGTTCTCGTGACTTTCATTTTTCTCGTTGCTATTCTCTTTGTTTTTGTTTTTTTGGTGATCTTCGTGCATATTTTTTTTACTATTCCTCCTACTTTCACTATTTTGGGGAATATCTTCATTTCCTTCGATCGTATTTTTTTTGTCGTTGCTTGCAGTCTCCATGTGACCATTTCCGTCGTTCACATTGTCATTGTTGGTTACAGCCCCTCCGTTGGTGCCCTCTTTATTCTCGTTTTTTATGCTCTCCGGGTTGCTGTCTCCATTATAGTCGCTGATCCCAGATTTCTTGGGATTTCCCCTATTCTCATTATTTGCGTTCTCTAGGTTGTCATCTTCATTATTATTGTTGCTCCTACTATTTCCATTGTTCGGGTTGGTTCTATTCCTTTGGTTGGTATTTTCTTTTTTCTTGTCGTTCCTATTAACCTTCAGGTTTCCATTTTCATCATTTGTTACTCTATTCGATTTGGTTGTCACTCTGTGATCTCTATCTCCCCCACTACCTCCCATTTCAGATCTACACTCCTTTTTAGCTGATGCAGATTTCGGTAAAGTCGAGGATGGATTTAAAAGCCCAAGTTCAGCTTGTGATTCGGAATCTTCGTTTTTATTGTAAGAATAATGCAAAAAAAAGCCATGAATGTTAAAGTTTGTGATGATAACAGTGCACAGCGAGCCATTCGTCTCAACATCAAAATAATTACCACGGAAATCTCTAGTGTTACGAATTCTTGCCCGCAGGAAACGAAGTAAACGCCTAAAAATAAACGACAAGAAACATTTTACCACTCGTGTTAGAAAAACAGGCGAAAAACGAACAGACGAACAAAAAAATTTTTTCATAGTACTCAGCATACTAAAGTTCCGAAGTCAATCACTTTATTTAAAATGTCAGTTTTGAAAGTTACAATATATAGTACAAAGTGAATCCGATCTAGTTTATTACGTGTATTAAATGAGTGATCGATACAAGTTCGAGTAGTAAAATTTATTATGATGTAAGTAGTATCAATATAAAGACTCCGATTTAAGCTAATCGTGTTCTGTAATTGTTTTAAGTTACGTGTTGGTAAAGGTTTTTTATAACGTTTGCAATACTGTCTACTGTAAAAGATACGTTATAGTCAGCAACAAGGCACATTGTTTCCGGGCAAGGAATGGAATAACCTTCGATTATAAAAGGAATCATTCAAAGAGATTCCAAGTTTAATGAAATTGAAACCGATATACAAGAAATATTAAAATATTGAATTGGATTGGATTGAATTCTAAATTTTAGCTACAAAAAAATGCTTCTTTTTTAAGAATTAAAAATTTCGTTTTTTCAACGCATTTTGCTCAAAGCAAAGAAATTTATAAAGTTCTATTATCGTTCAGCAAAAATTTTTCCGCAATTTTCACCTGCACCTCTCCAAATTTCTTACACACCAAACACATCACTGGCATCATAAATAACATAAGCGGGCTAAATGCCAACACAAACAAAGTAAACACAACTACAGATGTGGCTAACATCCACGACGATTTTACAAAAACGAAATATAGAAAACACATCCATGTATGTCTATCCGAGAACAAGGTACCTCCATAAGTAAGTA